CCACAGTAATGTGGAGGTGAGCCACTCGCTGCTGTCGCAGCTGCGACTGCTAGCAGGTCAAACAGAGCATGTGACCCTGTGCTGACCTCTCTGGCTCAGTCTCGCCTCTCTGAGCTTCTTCATCCCCACACATCCTGTCGGTCTCTCAGGTCAGCTGACCAGAGGGGGCGGGGCCTTTTCTATGGTGGCTCCTAAATGATGGAATAGCCCCCCTCCACACGTTAGAGCGGCCCCTTCACTGTCCACTTCAAAGACGTGTTAAAGCCATTTTCATTCTTCGGCTGTTGGCCTCAGAGAGACGTAGTTTCTCTTTTCATTAAATTATTCATTATTTTACTTTTTCTTATGTAATTTGATTCTTTAGTGAACAGCATGTGATTAAAGTGCTAAATGATGATGATGATGATGATGATGATGCGCTGAAACAGTTGAAGGTGAGCTGGCGGGCGGCTCGCCACGCTGGTATCCTGACAGCTTTATTCAGGGCAACCCCTATCCTTCATTTCACGTCCGTTAAAGTGAAACCACATCGGCTCCTCCCCCAACCATCAGGGAGACTCACCTGCTGACGGCTCTCAGAGCAGCGACAGTTTGTTTTCAGATCAGAAGCTCGTCCGTCTGAGCACATTTAAACTCAAACTAGTGAAACCTGCACAAACCCAAAACACTCAAATCTGCTCCATTAAAAATCTTTTCTTCAGTCAAATCTGGATCACAGACCCCGAACAAGTCTCAGCTGACCCGCTGCTGGTGAAACCATGAATGAGCCCGTGGAGAGGTCTGCTCCCCGTAACTTCATATCCATACAGGACCAATCATAACACCCATGCAGTGTTATGATTGGTCCTCCAGGACATCTGAACCTCCCAGACCTTTAGCAAACAAGACACACAGAGAAGTGAAACCTCTGAGTGACGAGTAGAAGCTCTCGTGTGTTAATGTGTTTATATCCACCAGGTCTCCACACACATCCTCACAGGAAGGCTCAGGGCTGCATGCTAAAAAGTTTCATAACACTGAAGATCAGAAAGCCTGAAAGCCAAGAGCAGCCAAAGAGTCGTACCAGCAACCCTACGTACCCACTGGTGCTGTAAACCCACCATCACCCACTGACCCTGAGAGGATCCACAACCGTCACAGAGCTGAGCAGTGGAAAGTTTCTGTGGCCTCAGGCTGAGTGTTGACAGGAGTTTCTACACATCACAGCCGAGACATCAGGAGGACGAACAGG